ATTAACCCACTTACTGCTGAGTTTCTCTCCCCCATCTGATAATTTCTGCCTTTCTTTTTCTCTCTTTAATTTTTTTTTTTCTTTTTTGTCTTTTTCCAAATTACATTTGCAAAGGGAACCTTCAAAATGTCTTGGCTGCCTGAATCAAAACTGTGAAGAGGTCTCAGCTGCTCCATTCATCTGAACAGATTTCTGACACAAATAAAGCGTGGATTTCAGAAAGCAAAGCACTTAAACACTTGATTCTCTTAAAGCACGTGCTTAAGTACCATTGAAGTACCTGCTCCTGTGTGCAGCTCTGTGCATTTGGTGCCGGGGTTGTTGATCAGGGCTGTTTTGCTGCTCAGAACCTTTGCAACAAGAGCCAAGTGAAGACTGAAGTGCTTTTACCAGCACTCTGAAAGCATCCTTCCTGCTGAAATCAAAGGTGTGCAAATTGAGCTTAATAACAAAATAATTCGGAGACAGCAAGTCTCATTACCCCTACTCATTCTTAGTTCACTGCAAGGTTCTGCTGCAATTCCCAGTGCATCTAGGAATTTTTTTTTGAGATCCTAATTTCATTGTGCAAGCAGCCATAATGATGGAGAATCACTTTAAAATCCTGTTTTTTAGATACTTACTCATTGCTGCTACTGGAGCTGCTGAGTAACATACGGCCTTTAATATATTTATCCTCAATTGTCTTTCTGAAGTTCCCATCTATTATGACTCCATCTGGGAAAACAGGGTACAGAGAAGTAAAACCAGAAGTCAGACAGCCTGTCTGCAGCACAGTGAGTAATTGGACCCCTGGATCCCAAGCTGCCACTGTAATCACTGTACTGCATTCCTCAAATCTGTAATAATTAAAATGACAGTCTGAGCCATTGGCTGATGTGGTGGGCTGGAGCCTTTACACTTGGGAATATGAGAATGGGAAGTCAGTGAAGCTAGTAAGAGGCTTTTTCTGACTCTTCCAGTAGTTGCTAAGCATTAGACCACCAAATTTATTAAATAACTGAAGATTTTTATTTCACAGACCAGTTTGATTTTTATCTTTACAAAGGCATGTTTTGATTCATCTCGACTTAAAAATGGAACATAAAATTGCTATAGGAGTTTAATAGTCATGAAAGAACTCTGAAATGTAGTTAATAAAAGTGTTTTATCTGTGTGAACATTTACTAATCTCAACCTCTATTAATCATTCTAACAATGTGCATGAGTTTGGGTAATGTGTCTTCTAATAAACGTTCATGTGGGCAATCTGCTAGCCATTGCCAGTTTCCTAAATGAATACCTTAATGGTTTCTGTAAGATATTTTTTCCTGTGATCTTCAGTTTATACTGCAGAAAAAGACACCTTGATAATACCAAGTTTTTTGAATTACCTAATAGATTATGTAACCCTCATACTCAAATAATGTTAGTCTAGTGTGTGGGTTTCTGTTCCATTTAGCAAAAGGATTTAACTGCAAACAGTTAAGTTATTGGAAAAATGTCTTACAAATATGGTTTTGCTAGTTAAATTGTGAACTTCTAGAAGTTCTTAAATAGCAGGTAATATCTATTGGGTGGACTAAAAGTCTGCTGTTTGTTTAGAGTATCACGTTTGCAGTTGAGGTTTTCATTAATTCAAAGAATTCATTAAAAATCAAAAACAAATATTCAGGAACAAAAAGCAATTGTTGCACTTTAGCATATTAGAAGCTGTGTTCTCAGATTGCATTATCTTTTGCAGCAGTAATACATGGTAAGCAAATGATCTTAAAGTTTGTTGTTATTTTTTATATTTTAAAATCTTTGTGGTGGATAAATATATTTGTAGTTTGCAAACAAAGAAAAACTTCAACAACTGCAAAAGTGGAATTAATTTTCAGGACATATTAAGTTCAGTAAACATCTTAATATTCCTTTATTTTCCCTATACTGCCTACAGTTTCTCCTTAGGCACATTTTTAAAGGCTGAAGAACTGATTTCTCTTGGTGTGCTTCATGTGGGGAGTGTCAGCATTTGTGCTTTGGGTTGTGCTGCTACTTTAGTTTTGTGTAGGTAAACATGGCTTAATAAACTGTAATTGGTTGGTGCTCCTGGAGGTTCTGCACAGCAGTGGGGTTTTTTATTTCTCATGGTACAAAAGTCTGAGAGAAGATCGTAGAAGTGACAAAAAAAGAGTGCAATTAGAGTAGTTGTGGTCAGGAAAGCACATGAACTTAACAATTTATTTTGTCATAGTAATTAAATATAATATTCAGGTAAAGCAGCGTAGATCTTAGCAGTTGCTGTATGACTTCTCCTTTCTCTTTTCTGCCTTTTCTTTTAACTTTCTTTTCTCTTTCCTTAGGACTGCTCTGTTAATTTCTTAAATATTTAATTTAAAGAAAAAATATTAACATTTCGGTGGGTCCTGGGACATTCTTTTGTACAGTTTGTATGTATTTAGAAGGTAGCTGAATGGTTGCCTTAGTGTCCTGCTGAATATTAATTTCCAAAGCTGGTATGGATTTGGCACCTCTGATGGACATTGTCATGTGAGAATTTAACACTGTAATATCTGTTACAGCACTAAATCAAAAGAAGTTTTTTAAAAGGATTGATGATGTCCTGTTCTAATGTGTTAAGTGCTTTCCAGATTTCATTATCTTTAAAGAGGCTTCTTTGCAGCAACCTGATTTCATTAAATTTATCAGTATTTCCCTAGCACTGGGTAATTAAAATTAAATAAAAAAATGAAAAAGATGGCAAAACACTTCTTAGAATAGTTATTGTGTATAAACTGTACTGGCTACAAGTGTCATCCCCTGCAAGAGGCTTTTGGAGTACCTGAGGGATTTGCATAAATCTTTGTGTTGTCTTTTTTGAATTACCCAAAGGCGTAGTGACTAAAACTGTACTGAATATTGCCTTAATGGTGCATTTGTTTGGGACTATATCTTAAAGGTGTCCTGTAAGCCTTGCTTTTACCAGATAGTCAGAAATCCTGACACAATTTCAATTGTATTGTCTTAAATGCAATACTTTTGGAAGCAGGAAAAATATATTCTCCAGATAAAGTGTGTTCCCAAATATTTGAGGAAATTAGTCTAATTGTATTGCTGTTACTGCTGCTGGATATTTGATGTTTTCATTGGAAGCCGTGTTTTAGGTTGGTTGTTTTTTTTTTTTAGGGATTTGTTATTTGTGATTTTTATTCTGTTTTTGAGTTGAAACTCTGTAAAAGCCCACTCAGAGGTACAGAGGTTTTTGAAGGAACAGTAAGATGATTAGTAATTTTCAGTTAGCTGAATTCCACATTTAAGTTATTTCATGTTTGAAGGAACAGTGTGGCTTCCACAGGTAATTCTGTAAATGCTAGTTAATGTATTTCTGAGAGAAGTACTGAGACCTCAATAATAGCTAAAACCTTTGCATTTTATATTTAAATGCATGGATATACACATTTACACAACAATGCATTGCTGGTTAGATTTTTTGTTTGGATTTGGTTTTGTCTTTTTTTTTTTTTTTTTTTTTTTTTTTTTTTTTTTTTTTTTTTTTTTTTTTTTTTTTTTTTTTTTTTTTTTTTTTTTTTTTAAGGTAGCTCAACTTTTAGAGTTTTTCTAGATGACTTAAAACCAAGTAAGGGAATATTTGCCCAGGGAGATTAAGGATGGTTAACATTACAGCTATTTAATAGTTCTTATTCTTTACATTTTTAAGATCTGATTATTTTCTGACTTCTAGTTGCCTGTAGGTTTTGAATTAAAAGCTTGCCTCTGGGAAATCAATCATAAATTATTCATTCACTTTAAGGAGACAAGGATTTCATCTATGTACATTCCTTTTAAACTTGTAAATACAAATTTTCAATGGAGTTTTAGCCCATGAAAGCAAATTACAGATCTCAGTATGCAGAAGGACACTTACCTTTGCTCATGTTGAGTATTTATGCTGGTTTAGTAGTGAGTGAGTGAAGGAAGGTGCATGTGTGGTGTAATGGTCTCACTGCTGAGGTGTGGTCACTGAAATGTTGATGCTGCCATTGACCAGCCCAGTAAGTGAAACTGAAGAGATTAATCCAGCACAAGCACCATTGCTGTGCATTTTAAAACAGCTTTTTCTTCCACACTGCCCCATCCAAGGAGGTATTTAGTAGAGATATTATACACTCTTGAAGAATAACAAGACTTCAGGGAAGAACTGGTTTGGTTTTGCCATCGTGTATTTTATGTACAGAAAAAACTCAAAGGTGAAAATCCTCCAGGGAAGGGAGGATATTGATGCCAGGATTTGTGTTGCATCAAGAGCATAAGCAACCTCTTCCCCACTCTTATCACATGATTGTTCTAATAGCTTGTGGTGTTTGGGTGTTGTAAGAAGAATAGATTTCACCCCTGTTGTGTTACCATACTGGATTTTGCATTGGTGCATAGGCCTGGGCAGCACTAACAACTTTGTTTCTACTTTCAGCAATATCATCCACCTGCCAAACAGAAATGTACTCATATATATGATGCTGTCTATTCTGTTATTTGAGAACTTATGCAATGTGAAACTAAACATTAACTTTAGGTCTGCATTTTCCTGTTAGTTCAATTTAAGAGTGTTAGGCTGCATGTTCTGTGTATTTACATTTACAGAAGAAAAGCTTATGTAACTGTGAAGTAAAATTCAATGGATTTTTTAAAAACTGTTTAGAGTGATATAAGATTTTCCTGTCAGGTTTGCTATTCCTTATATTTAGCTGCAGACTAGTGAAATTTAGTGAAGGCTTGTAGTAGCTGTGCTTGTGATAAGCTTAATTTTTGTGTAAAACTTCATCTCAGAATTGTTTTCATAATGTTTTTTTTTAAATTGGATGCCATGTATTTTGTCCTTTATTTGATTTTTAGTTTCTTCTGGAATGCATGTGTTTATGTATCATATATCTCTGCCTAAGACAATGCGTGGGGGGGTTAAGTTTGGAGGCTTTTTTTAAGGAAAAATGTCTCTATATCTTAATCCTAAATATTTTCTTTCTCTTGTGTTTTTGACTTAGGAATTTTATGTGCTTGGTGGAGATGGAAAAGGAAGAAAAGCAAGCTGGCCTCCTGAAGAAAGAAGGCAGCAAATATTTAATGGAACTTCTTTTCTGTGAAACCATGTTTTGAGTGTTCCTCCTCGACATTGTCCAAAATATCCTAGTATCAGCTGATTGCTATGATTGGAAACCTGGCTCATCAAACAGTGTACACTGGGAGAAGCCTGCTTAGGATAATAAATTTTCTTTTGTTTCTGAAAGTCTCTAAGAAAGCACTGTAGACATCTACCTGTTATTAACTCTGCATCTTGATTGAGCAAAACTAGTCTTTGAAGTGAACAGAAACAGAGCCTTTTTGGAAACTTGTATTGAACATGACTCATGGAGAAGAGCTTGGCTCTGAGATGCACCAGGATTCTGTTGTTCTAACTTACCTAGAGGGATTACTAATGCATCAAGCAGCAGGAGGCTCAGGTACTGCAGTTGACAAAAAGTCCACTGGGCATAGTGGGGAGGATCAAAACTTTAAGATTTCAGGAAATATATTTCCCAGCTGCCAGAGTAATGGTCCCGTTCTTAACACAAGTACGTATCGGGGATCTGGCATGCTGCACCTCAAAAAAGCAAGACTGTTGCAGTCTTCAGAAGACTGGAATGCAGCAAAGAGAAGGCGGTTGTCTGATTCCATTGTGGATTTAGATGGAAAAAAGGAAGCTTTGTTGGCTGGCATGGTTGAAAATGTGCCTAAAGGCAAACAGGATAGCACATTACTTGCCTCTTTGCTTCAGTCATTCAGCTCTAGGCTGCAGAGTGTTGCTCTGTCACAGCAGATTAGACAGAGTCTTAAGGAGCAAGGGTATTCTCTTAGCCATGATTCTTTACAAGTGGAGAAAGATTTAAGGTGCTACGGTGTTGCATCCAGCCACCTGAAGACTCTGCTGAAGAAGAGCAAAGCAAAAGATCAGAAGCTGGACAGCAGCCTGCCTGACATCACTAAGAACCTGCCCAAGGAGAGGTTTATAGAATCTCCTCATGCAGTGCAGAGCAGCCCTAAGGTGATGAATGAGCCCCTGTCGTGTGCTGCAAGATTACAAGCTGTTGCAAGCATGGTAGAGAAACGATCCAGTCCTGCTGCTTCGCCCAAGCCCAGCGTAGCGTGCAGCCAGCTGGCTTTGCTCCTTTCCAGTGAAGCCCACTTGCAGCAGTACTCCAGGGAACATGCTTTAAAAGCACAAAATGCCAATCAGATTGCAAGCGAGAGACTTGCAGCAATGGCCAGGCTACAGGAGAGTGCTCAGAAGGACATGGGCCAGTTTGGTTTGGCCAAGGGAATGACAAGCCATCTCAATGGTCAAGCAGGATCATCCCCCAAAACAGCTGCTAGCAAAGGCAATATGGCACCGTTTCAGAGTTCGGTGGGAATCGTGCACTCGCCTCCCAAAACTGTGGGATACAAAAGCACTGTGGAAAGGAGTAACCTGAAAACCTCTCCCAGCAACAGTTTGCTCTTGCATCTGCTGAAAAGCCAGAATACCACCAAGCACGTCAAAGGGTGTGAGCAGAGTGAGAGAGCCAGCATTTTTGAAGACAGCAGCACACCAACAACTGTTGATGAGTATTCAGACAACAATCCCAGTTTTACAGAAGACAGCAGTGATGATGAAAGCTCCCATTCTAACTGTCTTCCTATAGACCTATCCTTTAAACAGAGGACAGATAAACCAGATGCAGGTCCACCTGCATCACTGGATAACCTGACTCAGTCCTTGCTTCGTAACTGGGATCCAAAAGTTTCCTGTCCAGAGAACAAGGAAGAGAAAGACACTCCGAAAACTTCTAAGCTGAATCCCCACCAAAAAGTAACACTGCTTCAGCTGTTACTTGGGCATAAGAGTGAAGAGCAGGTAGACAAGAGTAACGATCCTCAGGGACCACACAGTACAGCTGATGTGGCAAAATTCACTGTACAGACTGGGAAAAGGACTCCTGTTACCGACAGTCCCAGTGCCAACCGAATGACTCCGTTAAGCACTCCCCCCTTGCTGGCTTCTACAAAAGCAGACTCTCCCATCAATCTCTCACACCAGTCGCTGGCTGTCAAGCGAAGCTCGCCACCCTATGCCTGCAGCATCCAGACAGACAGACTGATGAATTCTGCATCTAAACATTTGATAGACCTGTCCAAAAGCAAAGAAATTCAAGGAGCTAAGCTGAGCAGGACCGATAGTCCCCAGAACCCCTCGGCATTCAGCGCCAGCAAGCTGCTGCAGAACCTGGCTCAGTGTGGCATGCAGAGTTCCATGTCGAGTGAGGAACAAAGAGCTAGCAAACAGCTGCTGGCAGGGAACATGGATAAACCTGTGGGCTTGATTGATAGATTGAACAGCCCTCTGCTTACGAATAAATTGAGTATGCATGAAGAAAATAACAAACTATTCAGTTGTCAGCCCTCACCCTCTGAACAAGGACTTCCAGGTTCGGAAATAGAAAATCTCCTTGAAAGGCGCACTGTCCTTCAGCTGCTTCTGGGAACTCCCAATAAAGGTAAAAGTGAAAAGAAAGAGAGGATGCTTTTAAGAGATGAAAGTTCTCAAGAACAGACAGACAAGGCTTTGAATGAGCAAATATTGACGGTGAAAATAAAAACTGAACCATCTGACGAATCAAATGTTCCTTATAATTCAAATGCACAACAAGTAAGAGAATGCAAGGGTAACAAATTCCAAGGGTTTGCTCATTCACTGCAGAGAAACACAGCTGCTTCTCCAGCATCCGAGGAGGTGAAATCTGAGCCTATTTCACCTCAAGATTTCTCTTTTTCCAAAAATGGCCTGCTAAGTAGGTTGCTGAGACAGAATCAAGACAATTACCCTGCAGATGAGCTGGACAGGAGTCACAGAAACAACGAGCTGACACACCTTGAATCCAAGAGTCTTTGCACAGTACCGAAGAAGAGGAAGCTTCATGCTGAGCCTTTGGAAAGCCCATTAAAAAAGATGAAAAGTAATGTGTCTGATGCTGGAAACAATCACGCTTCTCCTACCGAGGCACTGTATGGGCCTTTGCTTAACCAGCAAGAACTGAAATTCAGCAGAAGTGATGCTGAATTTAAATATGCTGCAAGTCATGGTTCAAATAGTGAAACTGAAAACAGGAGCTGGTCTAGAGATAGTAAAGGCTTTAATGTGTTGAAACAGCTGCTTCTCTCTGAAAACTGTGAGAGAGATCTGTCACAACATAGGAATAACATACTAACAGAGGGCAAGAAAAAAGGAAACAAAACCAGTGCAACAATCAATAAACCTGAATTCACCATTTCTTCAGTAAGATCATTGGTGGGAAGCCCCGTGCAGCAGAACAATTGTGTAGATCACAGAACATTTCAGTATCCTGTAGCAGTAAAAAGTCCGGCCAGCTCCCCCTTCCCTGAACATCTGGGGAGTACAGTGTCCAGGCTGGAGTCCGACCAGTTCAGCATGTGTTCCGTGCCCAGTGAGAAGGGCCCCATCAGATGGGTGATCACGGGCGTGGACAAGAATGATTATGAGAAAGACTCTCCAAGACTGACCAAAACCAATCCAATATTGTACTACATGTTACAGAAAGGTGGCAGCTCTGTCAGCAGCCAAGAAGCACACGACAAAGAAATTTGGAATGAACCTTCATTTACTGAGAGTTCAACTCGTGTTACAATCAAAGAGGAGTTGACATCTGACACAGAGCTTAAAACTCCTTTTAGTAACTTAAGAAGCCCTTACAACAGCCATATGGGGAGTAACACCTCCCATCAGCATGGTGGTGTGAATGGAGAAGTGCATGGACTTCTGGAAAAAGTGCGAACAATCAAAAAAGAGCCAGAATAAACTGCAGCCTCCTCAGTGAGTTTACAATCAAAAGTTTTAAAAATAAATAAAAAAAAAAAAGAAAAAAAAGAAAAAAAGAAAAATGAGTATGAACTTCACTACTGTATAAATTGAGCATGATTTTAAAAAAAAGCATGGTCTAATTGAAGCGTTTTCATTTGATAAACTTTTTATTTTTCTGGTGATGTTATTTAAAATACATGTAGATAAAATTTGCTTTACAGTAGATTGTCACAAGGAAACTAGAAGGGTTGTAATTTGTAAAAGACATTCTGTATGTATCCAATTAAGTTATGACTACTCTTTGATCAGAGTCTTATTTGGATCTGCAAGCTTTTGGTATCACATAAAGTGTAAGCGTACAGCCTAGGTGGTGGTAATGCTGCGTTTCCTCCCTCCCTGTAAAATAATCCTTATTTTTTTGAAGCCTGAGCATAGAGACAGTGTACTTTTTTTTTTCTTGAATGTTTTAATATGTTTTGTGAAATTTTAAGAATAACTTTTAAGAAGTGGAGCAGTCCGTCCAAGGTATTAGCTCGTCATATTGGAAAACCTGCGTCAGTGTTAATAATTGAAGTGCACTGAAATGTATTTTTTAGTGCTTCCAAAATTTATATTGTTATTTTTAAATCTTGTTTGTGGTCCTGCCAGAATAGTGGTGTAAAATATATTTTTCTTCCTTGCCCTGCTCTCAACAAATGCCTTCCTCAGAATTCTTAGCCATAGTTATGAGTTACTAGTTAGAATTAAGAGGTTTTTCTAGGTTTTTATAAAAAAGGCAGATTTTCATAGGCCATGCAAGTACTGCATGAGTCCTTTTGTCGGCACATTCCTGTCACTTTCCTGCCTAAAAGGGGAAAGCCAAAATGCCTCTTGGAGTAGTGTGATTGAGAAGGCTTAGTTACATCTATTCAGTGGGGAAAATGCTGGAAAGCTTGTGAAGGGGATGAGCAGAATTATGTGTTCAGCACCATCCTGCTTCCCTGTGGAAGAATAGCAACTGCACTAAAGCAGCACATCAGACTTCCACTCAAAGATGGAATAGGATTTTAATGAAAAATGTGTTGGCCTCTTCCTACAACCAGGGAAAAGAATCTATAATCTGCCAATATTTATTGCTCTCTGAACAGCTGATACATGGTTTAATGCACTGCCCTTTCACTGCAGAAAATCTGGCTTTAGAATAATTTTCCAGGTAGCACTGAGGATAAAACTGTGGTTTTGTCATGTTCTGTAATGGATAGTGGGATATATCTGAGAAATCCTTCCCTGCCCTTTTCCTCAATCCCCACCTGTGCTGTGATTTGTAACATCTGGCAATATCAGCCTGAGATGGGAGGAACTGAAAATTGCAGTCAGAGCTGAGACATCTTAAAAGAATTGCTGGCTGGGGAAGAGTCGCGTGGCTCTGCTTTCCCGTTAGCACTGTCAGTGTTAACTCCATTTGCAGCCCTTATTTCTCTGGGGGCAGGAAGAGGACAAAATCCAGTTCCTCTAAATTATATGACATATTGGCAAGCAGAAGTTTTGCTGGACTTTTTACTCCCCTTAAAAAAAAAAAAAAAAATTCTCTGTGGCTTCTTGATTTCACTGGTAATCCTCTCTGCCATCAGCAAGCAGCTAAGCCATTGTCTTGCACAAATAATGAAAGCCTCACTCTGGTTTTATTTTGTCTGTTTTCTCCATTGCAAGCCAAAGACATGACAAAACTGCTGTTTGTGTCCATCCCATGTCTGCATAGCAGACATGAGTGATGGGGCATTTTGCTCTTTTCCATCTGGTTTGGTTTCAGAGATCCTTATCCCAGACTCCTGGCTTGCTGAGACAGAGCAAGCTGTCATCCCCCCCTTGTCCCTGTCCCCAGCCCAAGATCAGTTCCTCCTCTTTCCAGTGCAATTCCTACTGAAAGGGATTTCTTCTGTCTGACCGCTGGAAAATGCACCACTATTCTATTTTGCCTCCCTCTGGGGGATACCTTTCTTTAGGGAACACAAATATTTGGCAGTATCTGGTATAAAACATTCCCCCTGGTTTTTATGAGAAATAACAGAGCAATTTAAAGATATATTTTTATGTTACTTTGGTGAAGCATAATATATTAATGGGCTGTACAAAGAAGATTTATATTTTAAAACCTTCACACAAATCTAATATCATTTTAAATGTCATTGTCTGAAGTATAATATAAAAATAAAATTTTGTTTGTCTTTAATATTGCATTTATAAGTAGCCCAATGACAATTCAGATGTCTCATAGAATAATCATTAATGAGATAAAGTATATTTTGGATTGACAGTGGAACTGAATTCTTTTTATATGAGTCAACCCAGCAGAAATATTAAAAAGATGGTATTTGTTCCATCCATTAAATGTCTTTTAAAGTCTTAATTGATTATTTTTCTTGAAACAATGTGTATATAGGTAGCAAATATATACAGTATAGAATAATAGATGGTCCCCAGACTAAATACGGGGTTATAATTTGCTTAAAGAGCTCCACAGGAAAATACAGCATGAGAGGATGTGGAATTATCTGGCTGAAAAAACTTCTCCAAAGCTAAGTTGAGATGAGGAGTGGGGAAGAGATTCTAACCCTAAAAAAAAATAATACTGGAATCGAGCAATGCGCTGACCTTTGTATTTATTCTAGGGTATTCTATTGTTATAATATATACTTTTGAACATTTAGTTTTGAAAGTTTTGTAAAACAGTTAAGTTAAAATGTTAACAGTTTAACCAGTTAAGGATTTAGCTTTCTTTTTAGTTGATGCTAACAGAAGGGTATTGCCATTCTCACAGACGTCAGTAAACTCTAATATACAAGAATTTAAGTTTGGGACTTGGTGTTCATGGAAGAATCTTATCTCTTGTAGACATTGCACTCTCAAACAGCAGGTAACAAGGCTGAGGCCCTTGAGAGAGGGCAGGACGTGCCAAGGGAATGCTCAGTCAGCTGCTAAGTGGGCAGCTGCCCCCTCCTCTATGGAATTCTCCAGTATCACTGGTGTTACCCCCTCCCAGGGAAGAGAGGTCTTCTTTGAATCTGCCCCCTCCACATTTACAGCATTGACACCTTAGGACCAAAGGCTCTTTAAATTATTTTTTGTCTTGTAGCATGGGTGAGTAAAAAGGAGTTGCTGTTTTTATCCTCGGGGACTTTTCCACCAGAAAAGAGGGATGTGGGAGCTGGGTTTGTTGTCCCAGGAGGGACTGGTAGGGCTGGCCACGTTTTCCCAAGCAGCTCTAAGATCCCTGATTTCCACCAGTCCCTGTAGATTAATTGGGCATCTCTTGAGTAGCCCTTGGTACTCTCAGCACCTCCTGTTTCCTCTAGGCCCTTAGACTAGATTTGAAGCAAAATGGGGTCTTGGCAGATCTTGGCAGCAGCAGCTGTACAGGCAGAGCAGTGCAGGATCAGTGGGTGCTGGTGTGTGATCCCACCATCGAAGGAGCAGGGAGGGAGGGGAGAGCACATCCCAGTTCCAGCCAGCAGAGCCTGCTGGGGGGAAGCTGCCAGCAGCTCTCAGACCCGTGAGGAAGTGAGGTGGGGAATTGTCTCTATGCCACACTAGGAGTGCAATTGCAGCCTGAACTTTAACCTGAATTAACTCCGGCCCCACTCAGCTGGGAAGGGCTGGGCTGCAGCAGTTGCGTTGTGGAGACCCCGGTGCCTTGCTCGAGGGGGTGTCACCAGTGCCTGGTGGCACGCCCAAAGCCGCTGGATTTGGGGATTGACTCGGAACTGCCACGCAGATGCTCCTTTGCTTTCCAGAGGGAAGTGTCTGGGACTCATATCCAGGTTTCTAGTGTCTCCTCTGCCAAAGCTTGAGGAGGAGGTGGTGGGTGACGCTTGATCACAGAATCCAAAGTGGAGAGCTGGAGGGCTTCTCTACTGATACCGCATAGCTGGGCAGCTCAGTTTGAGAAGTTTATATGAGATCAAAAAGGGAATTCAGCCATAACTTTTACTTTTCGTAGCCATTTGCTCTTAGTGATGTTTTTAAATCTTTAATTTACAAATGTTTTTAAAAGAAAGAAATGAGTGGTTTAAATTTTCCCTGTTAAATGTTGGTGAAAGTATTACAGCTCTCATTGACGTCAGTGACATGATATTACCAGTTTGTTCTCTGCCACATCTTACAGAGGAGTAAACTGGTAAGTATATATTATATATATATTTATATATAATGTAAATATGTTGACTTGTTACGCCTATAATATGTTGAAATTGGTTTTTAAAAGGTGATGTAAATAGTGGTTTCCTTAATGAAAAATACATATTTTGTATTGTTCTAATGCAAAGGAAAAAAACCTTTTAATCTTTTTTGTTATGTATATTCCATGTATAAGTGTAAATATGATCACATAGGTTTAAAAACTTTTGCATGTATGTATACAGTTGCAAGTCTGGAAGAATGTATAGAAAAATTCTTTTATTTAAAGTTGTGATTAACTGCTGCATGAAAAGTGCATGGGGGACCCTGTGCATCTGTGCGTTGGCAAAAAAAAAAAGTCTTAACAAGTCAGGTCAGTTCAAAACACAACAGTATTCCACTTCTGGACATGACTTCTGCTGTGGTATTTTAGCTTTGTGAAAGAATGTGCTTCAATTCAAAAGGGTCTGGAAAAAAAAATGCAAACCTACTTTTAAAACATGAAGTGCTCATACAACTATAATAAGTCATGCAAGTTCAGGACTCCATTTTGCGTAATTGAAATATTGTACCTGGACTATTCCATCCCTGTAAAACAAAGGAGTATTGATTTTCATTGCCATACATAAGAATTCGGGATTTTACCACAACCAGTTTTATTGTGATGTGTCTTCAGTAATTTAACTGGTCTCATTTTTTTTATTAGAAATTAATTTCCTCATGTGATGTCACAAAACTGTACATACTGCAGTGTGAAGTTTTTTTAAATCTTTCAGTGTTTACTTCCTGCAGAAGATTTGAATAAATGAGAAAAATGCATTGTCTTGATGGTTTTTAAATCTGCTTTATTTCATGTGTACTTTGTGTTACTGGAGTGTTA